AGTGAAAAAAGGACGCAACTGAAACATGTTGACCACATTAAAAGAGACATCACGCTCTTAAAGGTCATACAAATCTTTGCAAGAGAGCAACAGGTAGACAACGATACAAGTGGGAGAAATAGTAACTCTACGCCATTCCACAACCCTGCATAAGAAGACCATTACTGATTTGACTGAAGTAGCAGCTTCTGAAACAGACGTCAGAGCTGTTGATGCTCAAAAATTGCACGGTAATTCCACACAGCAATCACATCAGGTTTATATCAAATCAGAAGAAGAATCGCATGTTTATGGCTGATAAATCTATACACACGAATATAAACGAAACGTAATTTGTTGATGTTAAATCTTCATTGGACAGATAAGGAACAATAGTTAACCAAGACCGTCTTCAATACAGCTGATACAAGTGAACGTGAAACGAGATAACGAAAACGTAGAGTACAATTATCTTTTGCGAAACACAGAAGCCAACGAAAAGTTAACACACGATAGAATCCTAAGCTTAATGCCATCAGCCGTCTCCTAGCTCCTAGAGTTGGTAGTGAGAGAGCTGATAGACTGGCAGGTACTGCATTAATTGAAGATGGTAGGCCCATGGATCACGCAGACATTGTCATTGCCCTTAGAGAGATAGGACGTTCTGAAGATTTTGGAAGCAACGTGTCCGCATCACTTCTAAGAATACGTGAATTGGGAGTAAAGATCAGCACAGCCAAGCATGAGAAGCACACTGGACGCACACGAAGTATTGTTAACTAGCATAGGACTGGTACTATTAACCGCACGACGCTGATGAATATGTTGAGAGGGGAATCTGAGCGCCTATGGATGTGTCCAGTGTGCTGTGAAGATAATCTGACTCATAACTCATAGCTCCTAAAGGTGATTTCTGTATATAAAACTCCGCGTTTCACAAATTTAGGTCAAGAACTACATCAAAGGTATTGCCACTGTAGCCATGTACTGTCATCATGTTTTATTAGTATTTTGAACTGTAACAAATTAGAATTTTAGTTACCTATTTATTTATTTTTATGTAATTAAAGATTTTTTTGTTAAACATGATACATTTTTTTAAAGTTTGTTTCGTTTCAAACAGTTTTCAAACAACTGCTAAACGTTTTTCTGAAGTTACACCTCCAATAGATTTAGCTACAAGTTGCTAATGGATTAAAACCCCAAAATAACTTCCAGTCAGTTTAGAAAGTTAGTTGCGAATCTTCAAATGCCCAAGTTCTTAATCTCGGATGTGAATCGCCTTCAGATGTCCAAGTTCTTAATCTTAGATGTGAATCTGCTTCAGATGTCCAAGTTCTTAATCTCAGATGTGAATCGGCTTCAGATGTCCAAGTTCTTAATCTTAGATGTGAATCTGCTTCAAATGTCCAAGTTCTTAATCTTAGATGTGAATCTGCTTTAGATGTCCAAGTTCTTAATCTTAGATGTGAATCTGCTTCAAATGTCCAAGTTCTTAATCTTAGATGTGAATCTGCTTCAGATGTCCAAGTTCCTAATCTCAGATGTGAATCTGCTTCAGGTGTCCAAGTTCTTAATCTTAGATGTGAATCTGCTTCAGATGTCCAAGTTCTTAATCTCAGATGTGAATCTGCTTCAGATGGGCAAGTTCTTAATCTCAGATGTGAATCTGCTTCAGATGTGCAAGTTTCTAATCTCAGATGTGAATCGGCCTAATCTCATATATGCAAGTTCTTAATCTTAGATGTGAATCTGCTTCAGATGTCCAAGCTCTTAATCTCAGATGTGAATCGGCTTCAGATGTCCAAGTTCTTAATCTCAGATGTGAATCTGCTTCAGATGTGCAAGTTCTTAATCTCAGATATGAATCGGCTACAGATGTGCAAGTTCTTAATCTCAGATGTGAATCGGCTACAGATGTGCAAGTTCTTAATCTCAGATGTGAATCTGCTTCAGATGGGCAAGTTCTTAATCTCAGTTGTGAATCTGCTTCAGATGTGCAAGTTATTAATCTCAGATGTGAATCTGCTTCAGATGTGCAAGTTCTTAATCTCAGATGTGAATCTGCTTCAGATGTGCAAGTTCTTAATCTCAGATGTGAATCTGCTTCAGATGTGCAAGTTCTTAATCTCAGATGTGAATCTGCTTCAGATGTGCAAGTTCTTAATCTCAGTTGTGAATCTGCTTCAGATGTCCAAGTTCTTAATCTCAGATGTGAATCGGCTACAGATGTGCAAGTTCTTAATCTCAGATGTGAATCTGCTTTAGATGTGCAAGTTCTTAATCTCAGTTGTGAGTCTGTTTCAGGTGCCCAAGTTCTTAATCTTAGATGTGAATCTGCTTCAGATGCCCAAGTTCTTAATCTTAGATGTGAATCTGCTTCAGATGCCCAAGTTCTTAATCTTAGATGTGAATTTGCTTCAAATGTCCAAGTTCTTAATCTCAGATGTGAATCTGCTTCAGATGTGCAAGTTCTTAATCTCAGATGTGAATCTGCTTCAGATGTGCAAGTTCTTAATCTCAGTTGTGAATCTGCTTTAGATGTCCAAGTTCCTGAATCAGTATTTTTTTTTATCAGTGAGATTTATTCGACTTGAATTTTCGCTTTAGCACAGCGGTTCTAAACCTGTGGGTCACGGCCTTTTTTTGGGGGGGGGGGGGAGGGGGGGGGAACGAACGACCCTTTCACAGAAGTAGCCGAAGACCATAGGAAAACACATTTTCACTGAAGTTATGAAGTGGTAACGAAAATAATGAAATGTTTAGTAGTCGCCACAATATGAGAAATTGTATTAAAGGGTAGCGGCATTAGGAAGGTTGAGAATCACTACTCTAGAGTCCACGTTAAGCCCTTGTTGATGTCGCACAATTATCCAAATATAACATTTGCTAAGTACAACTTCGATTTCGTCCGTTTAGTCCATGTACAGACCAAAACTATCCATACCATCTTCCCATTGCCCCCGAGGAGATACTATAGATATTGATTACTGATAACCGAATGTCCAGGACAATATAACAATCTGTGACGAATGAGTGAGATGGCACACCGGTATTGTGTCCTTGAGGAGGACCGTCAGCCACTCAAGGGACACAACTGTGCAGATGTTTGTCTTGATTGTCGTCAACAATGAGACAGCTAGAGTTGCATCTATTTTTGTTTGTGATGACTTATTTCAGTTTGGTGAGATCATTAGAAATCTTGTGAGAAAGATTGGGTGAGATAGAGATAGGGACAGGAACGAGAGGTACGGTGAGACAAAATGAGAGACACAAATTCGCAGCAAATGTAAAGAGACACAAGTAATAACAACAATAATTGTTATTATTTGTATTATTATTATTATTAGTATTATTATTATTATTATTACTATCACTACTACTATTTAAAGACCCCATAACTAATCACTTACCCGCACAGGCGTGCAAGGCGCCTAACTTGTGTGTGTTCACCAGGCTATACTAAGTTTACCGTCATTGGAGATTTAGTGGAATATCAAACATTTGCCAGACTGGATTGTCGTGCATGATGATATTCTCCGAGGGCAGGGATGGCCAAATCATCAACTAGCGGCCCCGAAAGGGGAAACAGACAGACAGCGATAGACTTAGCAGCATGTTTAATGGTGATGGTTCTAGTAGTATCAGTAGTGGTGGTGGTGGTAGTACGGGTAGTAGTAGTAGCAGCAGCAGCAGCAGCAGCAGCAGTAGAGTAGTAGTAGTAGTAGTAGTAGTAGTAGTAGTAGTAGTAGTAGTAGTCGTAGTAGTAGTAGTGGTGGTATAGTAATAGTAGTAGTAGTAGTAGTAGTAGTAGTAGTAGTAGTAGTAGTAGTAGTAGTAGTAGTAGTAGTAGTAGTAGTAGTAGTAGTAGTAGTGGTAGTAGTAGTGGCGGTGGTAGTACGGGTAGTAGTAGCAGCAGCAGCAGCAGCAGTAGTAGCAGTAGTAGTAATAGTAGTAGTAGTAGTAGTAGTAGTAGTAGTAGTAGTAGTAGTAGTAGTAGTAGTAGTAGTAGTAGTAGTAGTAGTAGTGGCGGTGGTAGTACGGGTAGTAGTAGCAGCAGCAGCAGTAGTAGTAGTATTTGTAGTAGTAGTATTAGTAGTAGTAGTAGTAGTAGTAGTAGTAGTAGTAGTAGTAGTAGTAGTAGTAGTAGTAGTAGTAGTAGTAGTAGTAGTAGTAGTAGTAGCAGCAGCAGCAGCAGTAGAGAAATAGTAGTAGTAGTGGTGGTGGTATAGTAATAGTAGTAGTAGTGGTGGTGGTGGTGGTGGTGGTGGTATAAGTATATCGGTAGTAGTAGCTGTAGTGGTTAGCTAACAGCAGCAGTAGTACTTGAATAAACAACAGCAGTAGTAGTAGTTGAATAAAACAACAGCAGTAGTAGTTGAATAAAACAACAGCAACAGTAGTAGTTGAATAAAACAACAGCAGCAGTAGTAGTTGAATAAAACAACAGCAGCAGTAGTAGTTGAATAAAACAACAGCAGTAGTAGTTGAATAAAACAACAGCAGTAGTAGTTGAATAAAACAACAGCAGTAGTAGTTGAATAAAACAACAGCAGTAGTAGTTGAATAAAACAACAGCAGTAGTACTTGAATAAAACAACAGCAGTAGTAGTTGAATAAAACAACAGTAGTAGTTGTTGAATAAAACAACAGCAGTAGTAGTTGAATAAAACAACAGTAGTAGTTGTTGAAGAAAACAACAGCAGTAGTAGTTGAATAAAACAACAGCAGTAGTAGTTGAATAAAACAACAGCAGTAGTAGTTGAATAAAACAACAGCAGTAGTAGTTGAAGAAAACAACAGCAGTAGTAGTTGAAGAAAACAACAGCAGTAGTAGTTGAATAAAACAACAGCAGTAGTTGTGATTTTATTTTTGTAGTGCTATTACTGCTTCTTCTACTTTTAAATGACACAACGTAACAATTTTAAAGAATAAGAAGAGAACACAGAGAATGGTGGTGATGATTGCAGCAATAAATATTGGAGAAGAGCGAAATACAATAAGAAAGAAACAGACTGACCTTCTTTAGCGCCAATAAAAATGCGCTCCGTTTTAACAACAAAATCATCATCATACTCCTGGTCATTCTTCCGTTGGTTTCTCCTGCCGTTTGGTGGGTCGCTCATCAGATCCACGTCCATCTCGTAGAGATGGGTCAGGGCTGGGACTTTGGGGATGGGCACGCCTGTCACATTGGGTATGTTAGTGATCTGGAGGCTGCTCAAAATCTGGTTCTTAAACTGCAGGATTCGGTAATGTCTGTCAATAGCTCGCATCCTACAGGACGGACAGCCAGGTTCCAAGACGGGCTCTCTGGCTTCTGCACTGGAATGATTTGATGAAGAGTCATCAATCCCATAATCGTAGTCTTCTTCTACCTGTGGTTTCATGGATTCTTCTGTCTTGGGGGAAGATGACAGGTTTTTGGGCTGCACATTCAGAGAATGGTTGAGAGACTTTTCTGGCTCTAAGTTGTGATTCTGGCTCGAATCTGGGCAGCTAGTATTCTGGTCAAAAGCAAAACTTCCTTTTGTTTCGTTTACCATTACTGCTTGCTGGCTTTCATTCTTTCCACCATGCTGGCTGTGTGGCTGCGAATCTGTCTGTTGTTCCCATATTTCCACTGTTGAATGTGACATATTTGTGGGCCCTGATGCAAATTGTTTTTCTGCTAACAGATTTTCTGTTTGTGCATTAGACGTAACATTTGTTTGTGACTGTTCTGAAGTCGAATTTGATACATTCGTTGTTTCTAAAGTTGTATTGAATTCTGACGACAAATTGAACATATTTTTAGTCTGTGACAGAACGGTAATATTTGTATTAGACGCGCCTAACGTATAGTTTGCAAGTTTCTCCTCCAGAGATGCAGAACTACTGAAGGGTTCTAAAGAAGAAACAGTCCAATTTGTTTTAGGCACATCTCCGAGAGACTGTGTCAATTTTTCTTCTGGTGACTCAAGCCCAAGATGATTTCGTATCAGTTCTGTGGGAGAGCTGCTTCCGTCATCTGCCACTGACTCTGAAGTCACATTAATATTACCGATGTGACCAGAAGAATGCGTCACATTATCGGCCTGTGACCCGGAGTTCGCATCCACTGAACGTGTCTGCCCTCTGGTCATCGCTAGATTCCATGTCTGCGACAGAAAACTGTCGGAGCTGCTAATCGTCTGGCTGTCTGTTGGACGCACTGTCTCTTTCTGAATATCTAGTGAGTCTTTATGTCCAAACACATTTGGAAGCGATGAAGACAATTGGTATCGGAAATCTTCAAGAGGTGGTGGCTGTTGTTCTCGATGTTCTTGTTGTTGCTTACTTTCGCCATCCTCCTTACCCGTGCGGCTCAAAATATTTGTCTGTACTGTGAGTATTTTTGAGAAAGCAATCAATAACAGGGCGAGGAAGGTCATGCGTAACTGAACAACCACCGACGACATAGTTTCTATACCGTTGACTGGTGACAATGGCCTCTACAAAACAGCGTTACTGACGGTGATGTTCTATTGTTGTAACCGCAAGCACTCAGATAATATTTCCATACATAAAATAACTAGGATATGTCTGACTTTGAGCCCGGTCAAAACTAATTTGCTTGTGGACAAAGCCTGCTTCTGAGTATAAAATAGTTTGTTCCGAACTGCTGTTTTCCTGAGGCTGGTATAAGCTTCGCTCGAAGGCAAGAACACACGGGCATCTGAACCAACTGCTGCTGTAGTCCATGTGTTTATAGGTCGTCTCAAGTCGGTTCTGTGCCTCAGCCAACATCGGCAACTCGTACTCACATGCGACTCGCAGATGCTGGCATTGATTAGCAGAAACAGCTGAGAGCCAGTACTCGCTGCGGGAACAGCTGAGAGATTCTCACAGCTGTTGTGTCACGGCCGGGCCGCGCGGCAACCGGCGCCAGCCAACCAGATGGCGATGTTCATAGAGGGCCGTCACTGGTTGAAAGAACATTATCTCTAGATTTATCTCTGCTTTCTTAATCCTTCATTCTGTCACTGACACTCAGTTCTTCTTTTCCAAGAGTCGTGATAGCCCAATAGTTGGCATTCTTACCTACCAACCCCGTGATCATGGGATCAAATCCCAGTCGAGCCTGATGTTAACAACTGACCTGTGCTGTCAAGCCGACAGTCTAACGTCAAGTCAAGGTCTCTTTACACGCCCGTAGCACATCCGGCACATAAAGTCATTTCTTTATTGACCTCTAGACCTATAAATCTCAATGTGTGATGTAGTCAGTCAGGAGCCTTTACTTCCCAGGACTGTACCTTGTACACAATTATGGCTGGGCCGACCTAGGAGCCATAGTCATGCATAAAACAAATCCAGCTCCACCTTCGAGGCGTTTAGCCGCTAAAGTCTTGGGCTATGCAAAGATGAGACTAGCACAATATACCCTGTATGTTTCAAGGAACAGAAATAAGTCGTTTGCATTGGCTTATTGCTTTATTCTGTATGAAAGTTATTTCTTTGTTGCTACAGTCTAGACACCTCTGCTGAGTGCTGTAGAGAGTATCACTAACTGTGGAAAAAGAGACTGATATATGTAATACTGTAAACGCTTCAGAAAGACACGGCTACACATTCCCAGAAATAACAAACTTTATACTAATATTATTCCGAATATAAAGTAAGAAAACTTGAAATCCTCTCTTTCAGTCAGTAGCCCATCGTGCTGGTAGAAAGCAGTAATTCTAGCTCACTTTCTACAGTGGATTTCAAAACTCATGCCGTCACAAATATGTAAAACTCCTCTAAGAAAAAATCGAATTTTTGTATGTCGCCCTAGATTTCTCATGTCCTTATGGTTTTATAATTTACAGTAGCGCAGATGCCGCCGTTTTCATAAAGCGACGAACTTCTTTGATCTTTGTTTGTTTAATAATTTATGTCTCAAAAATAGAAAAAAAAATAGAATATTTAGTAATTGACACACGCTTTCATCTAACACAAATAAAGCCAAAATGAAAACTAAATGGTGGTTTACAGTTTTTTTTTTAATGACAAGGACATGATTATTAACAGGCTGCCTGTCAAACTGACAGAAAGTTCTCAGAAGGTTGCTGAGTTACAGATATTTGAAGTTCACGAGGACTTCTAATACGAACTATAAGTCCTTTCTTCTGCTGGAATTAGATATCATCGTCGTAAAAGAGCACAAACAATCTAGAAATCGGGGCAAGATAATCAGACCATATCAAAGCGACACACGTTTATAAACATTTTCCCATGAAAGCTTTCCAGCCTTTAACAGTTATAAACTCAGGTCAAGGTAAAAGCCAAAAGTCCATTTTGGACGAACAACCGTGACTTACCGCCGGAATTCACAGCCGGTGAACAAGAAGAAGAAGAAGAAGAACAGTTATTGTGACTTGAACTCCCCGTGGTGTCTGCTGTGCCACTTGTTCACCGTCGTGTTGGTCTATCACTGCCTTTGATTCTGGGAACCCATATTTTCCGTTAATACAGTTTATGAGCAGCTATGACATTAACATCGCCCGTGTGTCACCGGGGCCCTCACGGGAAGCAAAGAATAGTGACACTGCACCCTACCAGGCATGTCGTAAGAGGCGACTAAGGGTAGTATTGGGCTTGAGGTTGGCTACCTCATCCTGTAAAAACCATAGCCACAAAAACCAACCAACCATGGATAAGTCAAAAAGAGAAGCAAATAAAATCCAGCCAACCAAGATGAGGGGTGGCTCTTCAAATAGAAGAAGTATGACTTTTGCCAGGGGCCGCAATATAGTGTGGAAATACTTTACGTCCCGGTGATTTTCATGGTGGACGTAATCGGGTGTTTATTTTGTTATTTGAAGCCCCACTGAAGCCCCACTCTGGCTTTTGCCAGGGGCCGCAATATAGGCAGGCCATCAATATGGCCAATTGTCTGAACGCGGTTTCTGGGACCTCTCCACGGTGATCCTCATCCGCATGGTGGCACTTTGTGTCATCGGGTGTTTATCGCTTGTGTGATGTCCTGGTGGGGTAGAAAGTCAGTCAGTCAGTCACGGTGTGGAGAAAGCCGTAAGGAGTCCGGATCGTTGACTTACCTCCTCTCAGCTAGGAAAACCTCCAGAATTGGCACCTGGAATGTTAGAACTCTCTATGATATAGGGAGAACAATGGAAGTAGCAAAGGAAATGAAACATTATAGAATTAGTATTTTAGGGTTATGTGAAACTAGATGGACTGGGGCAGGGAAAAGTATTCTAAGTTCAGGAGAAACTATTTTGTTCTCAGGACACACAGAGGAAAATTCGCCGCACAGTGAGGGAGTGGCCCTGATGCTATCAAAAGAAGCAGACAGAGCACTAATAGAATGGGAAGCTGTGAGTCCCAGAATAATAAGAGCATCTTTTAGAACAGTAAAACAGAAGGTGAACATGTCTGTAATACAGTGTTATGCACCAACAAATGATAAAGATGCATCTGTTAACGAAGAATTTTACATGCAGGTTCAAAATATTATAAATAATGAAAGAAAGGGCAACTTAAAAATTGTGATGGGTGACTTGAATGCTAAGATAGGATCAGACAACACAGGTTATGAAGAAATTATGGGGAGACATGGTCTAGGAGTAATGAATAAAAATGGAGAATTGTTCACAAATTTTTGTGCAGGTAACCAGTATGTTATTGGTGGAAGTATTTTTCCCCATAAAAGAATACACAAGGCAACATGGGAATCACCAGACCATAAGACAACTAATCAAATTGACCACATATGTATTAACAAAAAGTTTAGATCATCCCTTTACGATGTTAGGGCTTTCAGAGGTGCCGATGTATTTACTGACCATTTCCTGGTGGTAAGTAAAATCAAGTTGAAACTAAAAAGATATATAACATTTTGTAATCATTGAAACCAATATAATTTAGGCTTTCTCATAGATAAAGAAATTAAGGAACAGTTCTCAGTTACGGTCTCTAATAAGTACCAGGTGTTGCAGCAGTTAGCTGAAGATGCCAACACAGAAGTCTGCTGGGATCAGATCAAAGGAATCTGGAGTGCATTTTGCGTAGAAGTTCTTGGCAAGAAAAAAAGGAAACATAAAGCATGGATAACACCAGAAACCATTAAACTGATTGAAGATAGGAAAAGTAAAAAGGCAGAATTAAACAATAGCAAAACTAGAGCTGCTAAAGCTAGAGCTCAGGAGAAATACACAGAAGCCAACAAGGAAGTTAGGAGGCATATAAGGGCAGATAAAGTGAAATATCTAAATGATCTAGCACAAGAAGTGGAGACAGCAGCAGCAAAAGGAAACCTCAGAGAACTTTACAGTAACACAAGAAAATTAGTAGGTAAATATAGTCAGCCAACTGGATCAATCAAAAATAGTCAAGGAAAGGTACTTACTAACACTAAAGATCAAATGGACAGATGGGTTGAATATTTTGAAATGCTTCTGAATAGACCAGGCCCAGAGGTTACCCCAGATTTCCAGCCTTTAGAAATGGAACTGGATATCAACTGTGAGATACCATCCAAAGAGGAAATTAGAAAAGCTATAAATCTTCTCAAGGAAGGAAAGGCGACAGGCCCAGGTGGTATCCCAGCTGAAGCCATCAGGACCAACATAAACACCTCAACAGAATTGCTACATAGATTATTCAGTAAAGTCTGGGAGACCGAAGAAATAGCAGCAGACTGGAGAGAAGGATATCTTGTGAAACTGCCCAAAAAAGGTGATCTACAGGAGTGTGAAAACTATAGTGGAATTATGTTGTTGTCAGTTCCTGGAAAAATATTAAGTAGAATTTTTTTGGAAAGATTAAAACATGCTATTGATAAAATGCTAAGAGATGAGCAGGCAGGTTTTCAGTCAAACAGATCTTGTACTGATCAGATAGAAATGTCGAGTTCTTCATGAGGGAAAGCTAACAGATGCATTTGAAATAAAAACAGGTGTGCGACAGGGATGTCTTTTGTCGCCTCTCTTATTTTTACTGGCTATAGACTGGACTATAAAAACAGTAACTGCTAACACCAAGAATGGAATTCAGTGGACCCTTACAAAACAGCTTGATGATCTGGACTTCGCTGATGATATTGCTCTTCTGTCCCATTCACGGAATCAGATACAAGATAAATTAAATATACTTAATGCGA